GTTTGAGTCATATTCATTTGGGGAGCAATCCAAGTCATGCAGAACAACTTGGTACAATTTTCCATACTTGCACAAGGTGACATCTGAGTTTCCCACACTTGCACATACATACACAAGATGACTAGTGACTCAGAAGACAACCAGGTGCCTCTTTTCAAAAGAGTATTTCTAACATCATGTCACATTTAGCTATATGACTGGTATCAATCTATTAAACTAAATTTCTACGCCAGAACATTCCCATCAAACCTCTGTGCTCGAAGACATTGATAGTTTTGGTGTAGACTGTACAGAATATCACGAAGAAATTAAAAGACTGACCTCAAACACCGATGACAAAGAGGAAGAGAGAACTGGCATGGACACTCACCTGGGGATGAGTGGGAGCAGCAGCAAGAAAGGCAGATGATAGATTCATGAAGGGCAGCAACTGAAAAGCAGCTACAGACCCAGTGCTTATTAACAGTCACAGTGCAAGACAACAGAGCCAGCCTGCAAGGGAGGCCACTAATGAAACCTGAGGGAGGTACTGGTAGACAGAAACAGGTTAACAAGGCAGCAGCCTTAAGAGTCTAGCACCATAGCTTAACAAAAGCAAGTAACAAAGCAGTGGCCTTGAGAGTCTGGCACTGTGGCATAAAACAGCTGTTCATGACAGCGTTCCCATCATCTTCCAGCACATGAAGATATTTGTATTTGTTTTACCTACAGAGGTCTGACGAAGCAGTTCAAAAAACCCTGTGGCCCTGAGATAAGAACCTTGTTATCTTCTCACAGAATCCCAGAAGATACTACTGAGGCAAGGAGAAAGGCTGGAAAAGATTACTTTTCCAAGGAAAGGCTAAGTATTACACCTGGAAAGATCCAAAATATCTTCTGTCATCAGTGTTGCTGGTTCTGCTCCAAGAAAAGGATTTCTAATGAATACAGTGGCAGAGAACACATGACTTAGAGCAGGGGAGTTGCTGGTAGGCACCCACTTTACTTAAATCGTCCAGCTCTGACTGAAAAATAAATTCCTTCTAGCCGAATATTTATCAAGAGGATTGTCAATGTCGTATCAGAGAATTATCAAACGTTTAAGAAAATGGAAAAACAACAGTTGCCATGCAGTGCCTTTACTTACATCAATTGTTTTAAAATAGAAGTTCCATTGAAGGAAGAATCTCTTTTATTTTCCTTGCTTGGAAGTCATAAGGGTAAAATTCAAAGTCTGCCAAACACTTATACTTGTGAGGAACTTTAATCCTGTGAGTAGTTCTACTGAAGGAAACAGAACTACTCATGGCAGTAAGTACCTGTCACTCTTCTGGCACTAAGTGGCAGACACAGAATATACTGAAGAAGGGATATCCTGTACAGGAATCAGCTGACATCTCACACACCTAACAGAGTAATCATACAGAAACAGAGAAGTATTTTTCCTTGTATCCTATTATTTTTTCAGCAATAATAATCATTAGTATTACTAAGAACAGGTACAAAAAAAGTCTTGAGGTAGAAATATGTTTTAAAGGATGTGCCTTTAAAAAAGATCAAAAATGGAGTATTTATGTTGCATACATTTCTTTCAGTCATAAAATGACCAGGTAGAACTCTGAGAACCGATTTTGAAAGGAAGTCCCAACTCCTCTTCCACAACCTCATGCAGAGATTTCAGCAACTGCTTGCTACTTGATAGTACATGGCTTGCACCATATGGTCTTACCACAGAAATAAGCTTGAGGCTTTGGCTCTGCAGTTAGATGTATGTAGAGATGTCAAGGATGAAGTCTGAAGAACTGAATTGCCTTTGAATAGAACCAAACGGTTGAAGGCATACCACAGCTTGGGTTTATTTAAGGGCTTGAAATTTACTGGGAAACTTAAGTGTTTGCTTTCAAAATACTTCTGAATGTTCTTTATTCAGCTTTCCCCAAAGACAGAAAAAAATCTCAGGCTTTGATACGACAGAGATTTTTTTAAAGTGGTGTCTTTGTGCACAACTGTCAACTGTAGCTCAATTCAATGGGTGCCAGAACAGACATCCCACTGCAAAATCCAACTGGAGCTTGTTAAAACGCTGTTCTGTCAATGGAGGAAGCCAAAGGCTTGGCCTTGGGTAACTGATACCATCAACTGCCTTCTGCAATAGCTTCTTCTTATGTCCTGATTCATAAGACTCCTTTGAAATGACATTTCCAGCTTTGCTGTGTTATTCTGTACAGACAATTTACAGGAGAGAAAGATTTGCCTTATTCAGAGTTGCTTTCCGGATGGGAAGGGCCAATCCCCCGCGTTAGCCTATACTGTTCCAAGAACAAAAGCAAGACTTCTATTTCTCAATGAAAGAAAATTGTATTTTCAGTGAACAATCACATCTTCCTTGGTGTGGTTAGTGCCGTAAAACTAAATTAAGACCACGGGGTCCTCAGAATCAGAAGCCTTCACATTCTGACAGGTTCTGATTCGAATTCAGAACATGGCTTCATGCAGGAAAACTGTACTTGCCATTTTCTTTGTAAACATTCTCATCTCTTGTAATAACTGTGGTAATGTAAATCAAATGCAGAAAATAGTTTTATGATTTCTTTTTCGCTCAGCTGCTAAAACACCCAATGATCTACATGACATATGTATATGCTGGAGTTGCTTCATTTGTTATAATGTATAACTTCTCAAGAACAGCAGCTTTAGGTGATGTGCGATGCTGAATCCCAAAAATACAATCTGCTTTCTCCTTATTTGACAAGTACCTCTTAGAATACACATGTGAGTTATTTGTAAATATGACCGACTTTTTTTATTTTTAGCACAACATTTTGGCTGTGTCTTGTGGCAAGCTGATGCATCAGTGATGTACAATAGTAAAGTCATTAAAGTGGTATCTGAAGCTTTTCTCAGGAACACAAGCCAAAGTCAATATCCCACTAGTTAAATAATGCATTTCATAATTATAGCAAATATTTAATTTTCAAACAAATATCCTTTTGCTCTTTCAGAATCAACAGCAGCAGTTAACATGATGGTTCACAATTAATAAGGACCCAGGAGAAAACCTCACACAATCAGTACTTTTCATCTACATATTTATGAAATTTCTTCAATTATTCATGTAACATTTACTACTGGGAGTGGTGAATATGACAATCATCTCTGCTGGAGAACCAGTCGTTTCTCTTTAAAATGCTGCAAGCAGCATAATTGAATTCTAAAACTGTTATATGGAGATTAAGGGACATTTTTAAGACCTGGATGTTCTGCATGGAACTATTGTTCTCCACTAACTGAACCACCGTTCTCCTGATTGATCAACCCCCACACACTTCTTTAGAAGCCTAGACTTACAGCCACAGTGTGAATCACCCTGCAATTCCTAAGAGATACCAAATCTTACTGAAACCTCTTTCTGATGCAGTAGTTACCTAGCAGCAAAACCTAGCAACCCTCTAGTATGAGATTAATCCCGGTGTGATCGTCATAAAGTAATATCTAAAAGATATTTTACTTAACTGTGCCATCCAAAGGTACATAGAAATGCTATGCAAAAATGCTCAGGCCTCCAACTGTTCAGCTACAGAAATTAGAAGAGGCCACCCAACAGCACAACAAGCTATTTACATGTTGTTCAGTGAGGTCTCATTTGCTCAGCTCTCCCAACAAAGACAGAAACAACCCAGATCTACAAAGGGATGCACAAAACATTTAGATGTGACTAAGATTAGTTCAAAACCCTTCCTTAGCTACAATTTAATGTTGGAGCAACGAAATCCCTTAGTCCCCACAGGTAGTGGGTAAATGCAGAATTCCTCATGTACAGGTTCTGCTCAGTTGCTTGGAACCAAAGTCCTAGCAGGGTACTCAAACTAAACACTTTCTCTCTTTTTTCTTCTACAACATAGTAAGCATTTTCAATCACCTTAGTGTGACCAGGACATGCACAAGAGACAGCCGGACACGAGTCCTCCCTGCATCTGCATCTTACCCAACAATACAGCCTGCACAACCTTTACCTGAAAGGAAGAGGATTACTCTCAAGGACTGGTATTACGGTGCCAGGAGGAGAAAGAGAGAATGTTAATCAGAATGTAGCATTTTCCCTGTGGGATGGGATCTTCTTACTCCAAATTGGGAAAAACTAAAACTGGAACTGGGTTTATTGCCCCCTTCCACTTCCCATAACATCTCTTACTAGCTGTCTGGGCTGGTTCCCCACACAGCTTACTGGAAACCTACACACTTCACTATATGGCTTAAGACTCCACCAGGTGACCTGCACTTAAAACATTTGTCCTGGTAACTCCGCAAAGTTCTTTTGCAAATGTAGCCTCAAGTGTCTAAGCCCTCCTTGAGCCTTCATTTTGTTTGTTTAAGATGCTCCCACTCCACAGAGAGCTGTACGTACTCAAGGGAGTAATGGAAGTGTGGAGACTGAAGAGTAAATCTGAATCAGATCCCTGCTGCACTGCCATCTGCCCGGAACAATCATCAACAAGTTTTAAGATACAAATGGACCAGGAAAACCCACAGCAAAGAACTCTGGTATACATAGCTGTGCTGGTAAGACATACTATTAAAAAAAATACCACCATAATGGACCATTTAAATGCTTTTAAGACAGTGGTTTGGCCACCATGAAATATAAGAAGCCAAAAAGAAAACAAATACTCTTGTGGTTCTTGTCCTTCAGCACTAACAGGAGCTTTATCCGTGCCGTGAGAGCTACCTGCATGCAGCCCACATACACCCTGGCCAGCCACGTTCTGAAAGCCACATGCTGACAGAAGTGCCTTCTGAATTAATTTGCCAGTGAGGGATGACAAGCAATAATGCTGCAACATTTGCTTTTGCTTCTAAGCACTGAAATATGAACTATTATAACATTTATTTTTCTTATCTACAGCTATACGCACAACAGCCACTGTCGAGTTATAACCAGTTCTGAGTATGATCTGCAATTGATTTTAAGCACTTCTGTGAGCACGACTGAGTCGTTAACATCTTCAGCTAGCACTGCTTACCTTAAATCTTTCTGACACCCCTTCAGTGATGCTGATTGTGAATTCAGCTATTTTAGGGGTACGGAACTTTCCCTTCTTTCGATCAGGTTCATAGTCTGTTTTCGTTTTGACCACAACCTTTAAAAAACAAAACAAAAAAACCAGCTGTCAGTTGATAGTAGCCAACTAGCCACAGGAATCTTATTTATTCATTAACTCCGCTTTTACCTGCTTGCAAGCAGATCTAGCACAGTTATTTCCACACACACACACTCTTCGTGCCAATTCTTTGGAAGCTATAAGTTGTTATTTTCCCACCCATAGCAAGCAACAAAATTACCTCTTGAAGTGGTTTTGATGGACCTAAAAGAAGACTTGCCATGCAATAGTTTCACAAATGTTCAGTTTTTCAGCTGTGGTGGTATTTTGCTGCTATAACTAGGCAAGCATCTACTTAGTTCACATGCGAATCATGAAGCCTCCTACTTTGTGTAGTCTGAAACAGTCATCCCCCTTTGCTTCAGGACATCCCATTAATGGAATTTCAAACTGCAGACCAACAGGAGGAGACAATTACTGAGGAGTGGCCACAGAAATACAGCAGATGACGATGCTATAACATCATCCACATTCTTTGAAAAGAACATCAACCATGTTCTTTGATGGCAGCATTTTGAGTTTAAAAGAAATAAAATGACCTATCTAGTTGCTATCTCCTTCGTGCTAGACTACAGCTCTTCACACTCTTATTTTTAACATTTAACTTTTAAATTATCAGCTGCAAGCAGCAACATGCATGCACACCCTTGTGTTAATGAGATTTCTTGAAACCCAAAGCTCCTCAGCTTATTCCCTGCTCTGTGCTATTGCCCCAAGCTACACTATTTATCACCTTACCAGTATTCCTAAAATATTCACTGTGTCGGTCATATCTCTAGTGCTCTCCTAGACATCCTAACTGTACAAAATTTTCACACACCTCACCTATTTGCCTCTTTTGTCTCCACCAATTTTTCAGAATCTAGTTCAAAGTATCCCTCTTAAGACAGAATGCAGTTTATCATACTGACAGTGCTATTAAGTTTTGCTCAATTTTCTCTATTGTTCCAAAGAACAAATATCTAAGCTCTTTTAGATTTTTAGAACTAAATTCAATCTGTAGATTGGTATCAACATGGTATCAACAGCAACTACATGATTTTGAAATCAAGATTGTGACATTTGCAGGTAACCAGGCACTGAAATTAAAGCTGTGGGTCCCCTGTCTCCTCACTTACCTGAAAGGGTATCTTTAATGTGTAACTGTACCTAGACTTAGTACCACAAACCTTGTTAGACACTTCTACAGCATTAGATATATGTGTGCAGGATATAGGTTTAGAAACTACTTTACCTATTTTCAGCTGTAGTTAATAACTATTAATGATTTAACTTTACAACTGCCCAGCAGCATCATGGAATTAAACTGTCTGAAGATTTCTAGAATGCTTTTTAACATTTTAATTCCCTTCCTCCCCCATTTATGTTGCATAATCTCAGGCAACTCAAATCACATTCAGCTGACACTGAACGTACAGTTCTATCTGCTTGGTTATGTAATGTCTACTTTTGTTTAACATACCTAAATATGAATTTAGATCAGTTCATCTCTTTAATTTAGAAGCTGTCAAAACCATCAAATCCTCAGCACTGTAGCCACTACTGTTGAAAAAGTTATGCTTCACTGCCATGCTGGAGCCTTGTAAGTGAATAATAAAGCACAGATACATGAAGTGTGTGCTCCTATTCATTATACATGACTGTCTTCATACTTCGGAATTTGATCTGTGTGTCAATCTTGAATTACTACTGGTTCTTTTTTTTTTTTTTCACATCGGTTGCTCTACTATTGCCTTTGAGTCTGTTAAGACATAATGACATGACTAACCAGGCAGTAGGACCAATAAATTCATGTTTTTATTTTTCCTCCTCTATGATTGTCACAGAAAAGTGAAGAAAAACTAATATTCAAACAGTGGAAAGAGTAGAAAAGTCAATCAAATATTCCTTTATTATACAGCTTAGTTGTACATTTGCTTTTACCCAAGGCAAATGTGGCTGTGAAGCTGGGAGGAGTTCTGCTCCACTCTAGTAAGAGCAAACAGGCTGGCACAGAACCTCCTGGGGTCACCACAGAGGCTCTGCTCAGGTTAAACGTGCTACCAGACGGGCCCCGAGCTCAGGCCTCTGCTCAGCAGTGCAGCAAGGCCACCGATTCCTTTGGACACTGGTCCCTGGCCATGGGTTCCGTCCAGCACCAGCTGGCAGGCGCAGCAGGCACAGTCAGGCTCCGCTTGTTCTAAAGCCGTAGGGTGCAATTCTGTCCTCAGTTACAAGATTTACACCCACGTAACCAAGGGCAGAAAATGGACCCTCAGGCTCTCTAACAGCTGTTATGGCTTATTGCCTTTACGCCTGCCAACTGGTCACCACACACAGCACAGTGATGCTGGTACCCATTGAAATGGAGGTCACCAATTTCTTCATATTGCCTACAAGCAACACGGAACCGAGGTAAATTTCACAAGCTAAAATTCTTTACCCCAAGATAAGATGATGTCATTTTTTTTTGAGATAAGATGATGTCATTTTTTTTTTGAGCTATGAGGAACATAAATCTATCAGTTTATCTTGAAGTAGAATTGAGCTCGTGGAAGACACAATGCCAAAAATAAAAATCAGCATGAAGACATTACTGACCAGTTCCCAGTTGAATTTTGTTATTTTTTTAAAGACCACAAAGCTTTTTTTTGCCAGATGCACATGTGAGAAACGTGCAAGTAAGTATCAAACTGCTGAAACAGGACAATGAAAAACAGAGTACTGAAATACCAAAGTATCCTACTCCTGTATACCTTACCTGTATTAACATTTAAACAAATTCTTTATTGTGAGAATTAACATAATTGCAGGATATCACACCACCTTCCTAAATCCATAAAACTAAATCCTTAGTAATCAAGCCACGTAACAAAGAATCCAGAATGCACATTTCCCTTCCAACCTGTGAGCAGCACATTGGACCACTCCCTTCCAGTTACAGAGCATCTCAATACCCTATATGCAGGGGTTTGAACCAAATTACAGTACATTTGTATATGACACCAAGTTAGTGTTAAGGGTGTGTGTGTTGATCTGCCTGAGGGTAGAAAGGCTCTACAGAGGGATCTGGACAGGCTGGACTGGATCAATGGGCCAAAGCCAATGGGATGAGGTTCAACGATGCCAAGTGCTGGGGCCTGCACTGTACTTTGGTCACGACAACGCCATCACTGCTACAGGCTTGGGGAAGAGTAGCTGGAAAGCTGGCTGGAGAAAAAGGACCTGGGGGTGTTGACCAACAGCTGCATGAACAGGAGCCAGCAGTGTGCCCAGGTGGCCAAGAAGGCCAACAGCATCCTGGCCTCTATCAGACTGCGCAGCCAGCAATAGGAGGGAAGTGATCATCCCCCTGTATTGGCACTGGTGAGGCCACACCTGGAATACTGTGTTCAGTTTGGGATCCTCACTACAAGAAGGACATCGAGTTGATGCAGCATGCCCAAAGAAAAGTAATGAAGCTGGTAAAGGGTCTCTAGAACAAGTCTCATGAGGAGCAGCTAAAGGAACTGGGGTTGTTTAGCCTGGAGAAAAGAAGGCTCTGGGGAGACCTTAACACCCTCTACAACTACCTCAAAAAAGAGGTTGTAGCAGGGTGGGGGTCAGTCTCTTCTCCCAAGTGATGAGCAACAGGACAAGAGGAAACAGCCTCGAGTCATGCCAGGGGAGGTTTAGGTTGGGTATTAGGAAAAATTTCTTCACTTAAAGGGTTGTTATGCCCTGAACAGTCTGCCCAAGGAGGTGGTGGAGTCACCATCCCTGAAGGTACTTAAAAGATGTGTAGATGTGGTGCTTAGTGACATGGTTTAGTGGTGACCTGGCAGTGCTGGGTCAACAGTTTGACTCCGTCTTAAAGGTCTCTTCCAACCAGAACAATTTTATGAAATAAGATGCCAATGAGAAAACTCAGTGGCCTGTTCTCATCTCATTATTTCAGCATTAATTTCCTACCAAAGAACAGAAGGATCATGGAATTCTTTCTCTCTGTGGCCAGTCTGCCCATGTACACTTTGCAGACACAAAGCAGTATTTTATCCCCCCATTAGGGGGGCTTTTTCTGGACAATGAAAATGTGTTTTTCATGGAGAAAGCGCACTACCTTCCAGATACAAAACAGAAAAATACAGAATAGAAAGAGCTACGACAACACAGCATAGAGAAGCCTGCATTTGTATGTTTATATATTTCATACATCAGCACTGCAATCTGTATACGCTTATTGCTAACATTTCCCACTGCTTTTTAATGCAAATCACTACTAGTGGATTTTCATTAGCTTAACTGTTACGTTTTTGTCCCCAGAGGGAGCTAGCATGTCTTAAAACACCCCGTATTCTTGACATTTCTAAGCAGCTCATTACACATAACCTATTCTTTTGTTGTTTGCCTGAGATTTGGGTGTGATTCTCCAGGGTGGAAACTAAAGCTTGCTGTACCTTATCAGGAGGTGGGAACTGGAGCTGATTGACATCCAGGGGTGTGATCAGGGGGATGGTGTCAAATCCATCCTCCAACAGGGGCTGCTTTGTGCTCTTCTCGCTGAAATTATTCCCCAGTTTCACCATTCTTCCAGGATAGAGGGATTATCTGCTGGCACACGCGCACAGAAACGCAAGATGTCAGAAACTCGGGATGCATCAGACCCCGGAGAACCGGAAAGATCTTATGGAAAAAACAATTAAAAGAAAAAATATTTTTTTTTTTTTTTTAAAAACACGTTAGTCGATGTGATTCGGTTGCATTTGTGCGTTTTAGCAAGCAAGAACGACGGCAAGCGCTTTCATTGTCAAAGTTAAAAAAAACCCGACACCCCACTGAAAAAAGAACCCAAAAATCACCCCCGAGCGCTCGGCTCGTT